CGAGATCAACAACAAACTAGAACTGAGAATCTCGGAAGACTTTAGAAGAGCTTCGTGAGAATGAATCTCGGAAGACTTTAGAAGGGCTTTGTGAGAATGAATCTCAGAAGACTTTAGAAGGGCTTCATGAGAATGATTGATCAAGAACACTCAAAGGACTTTACAAGTGCCTTAAATGAGAATTCAATACTCACAAAACTTTAGAAGTATTGGAGTAAGATAAATATAATCAAAGTGCTTTAAAAGCACCTTGAAACTCAGTGTTTGATGCAATTACCCCGTATAAGTATAGAATTCACCAAAGGCTTGAATTGAATCCTATAATTTTCTATTAAGTTAGAAATAAACCTAAGAATTACAAGCATACTATTTACTATTTGATGGTAAGATAATAGTGTCTTGTAAATTAGTTATGACAAATCCAAATTTTGAATAATGGTTAGAGGCCATAAAATCCAGAAAAGACTCCATGTTTGAAAATCATGTTTGAAACTTGATTAATTTGCATGAAAGGTGAAAGACCCATCAATCGCAAATAAGTTTTCAAGGAGAAAACTGACAAATGTGGAAATGTATATGCATACATAGCTAGATTGGTTGAAAAGGATACAACTAATTCACCGTGTTGATTTTAATTAAAAACCTATTCACTAATCGGAATGCTTAAGTCTTTTCGTGATTATTCCAGCAAAATTGCGCATATGAAATATGGCTAAATAGATACCAAATCCGCCTTCCTAAAATGGGATTTTGGATGAGACTATAGAAATAGTCTAAGGGTTTTGAAAATCTAAATAATGCTAGATTTGAAAGCAAGCTCAAGTAATCCATTGCTTGATTAAGGGAAGCATTGTATGTAGGAATTGGAACATATTTTCTCATAAAGTTAATATAAGGTTTGGATTGTTGAGAAACACGGAAATTCTTTGAATAAAGAAGTTTAGTGGGAGCAAAAGTCAAATATGTAAAGGTCCAACAAGAAGTTTACGAACTCTGTTGTGAAATGGCTATCAAATGCTAAATGCATAGATTTAAAAGTATTTTCGACAATGGACCAAGCTAAAGGCGATACTTAGTACATATTGGGAATTAAGATCTATTGTATAGACTTAATAAAATGTTTAAATGAGTAAAGGAATTTACCATGTTAAACATAAAGGACTTGGAAAGGCTTTCGACCCATATGTATAAAACTAAGTAAATGTTTGGACTGAGTATAAGCTAGGCTAATACTAAGTCAAACAAGAATGACTCTAGTAGAGACTTTCAACCGTATCATATAGCAAACAGTTTAGCAAGACTCAGTGAAACTAGATGAGCTAAAAGTCACATGAATGGGATGAAATTAAGAATATTTCAGCAATTGAATCCATCATGTATGCTATGATATGGAATCGTCACATGACCTGCATGCTTAGAGCATGACAAGTATAAAATACCAAACGACTTGAATCTAAGCGATGGATCGTTTGATTATGATCAAGAACATCCAAATTACTTGTTAAGTAAAAGGATGAGTTCTTGATACATGGAAAAAAAAATAATTTGAATATTGATGTTGCGAGAACAACCTTATCAAGGATCAGATCCTTAACAAGGAAGACATTTATAAGCACGAGGATAAAACACGTCGTGGCTTGAGAATGGCAACATGAACTAATGTCCATGTATATTGTGCGGAAATTAAGGTAAATTTCTATAATCACAAATGATTAGAGTATCCAAATCATTATCAGTCAATTGGAGTCAAATCCAAGCAAAGCGTCATTAGGAAATCTGCTAAAGTATATGTTGAGAACATTGTTGCCTTAAAGGCAATAATAAGGAAGTTGTTCAATGGATAGTTCGTTGTTGAACTTTGATGATTATAGGTGTCAAGTTGAAGATCTCAAATCATGAAATTAAAATGAGTGGGAGCCACACTTGGACAATAAATCCTAAATCGCATATAATCCATAACACTCTCAAATCTTATCATCTTATTATGAGAATTTTTTATTAATAAAGAAGATGCTAAGTTTTGCAAAGTAATCATAACTAAACCAATGCAATAAGTGAACCACAACATTCAAAATTGCATAAAAGAAATCAAGCATATTACATATAGGTATGATTTCTATAAATGTTATGTTAAGAGTATTACTCTTAAAACATTTGGGCAAAACTATTTATCATAAGATGAAATGTTGAAAAGTTTCATTGTGGGATAAAATTTTTACTAATAAATTCCACAAACTATTTAATTATGGTTTAGAATTAAATAATGAGTCCATTCAATTTTAGAATATTCAAAACAGGGTATCAAGACAATGTCTTGGATAAAGAAACACCTGTTACAAGGTCATTTAATTGGTGGACGATTAATGACCACTTGAGATTTGTGAGTAGTATGATTTATAACACTGTTTCTTATGCTACAAGGACATGATTGTCATAAATAATTTGTACAGGTATTTGTTTGGAACTATACCGGATCGACCTATGAGAATCCTTTAAGAGATTTAAAATCGTCATAAGTATATTTCTCATTATAGCTATCGGAACCTCTTTCCTCGACCATGAGTATTGTAAGTTCTCTTGTTTGAGTACTAGTCCGTTTTGATGTTGTCAAACGTTTGCCGTAAATGGGGATTATAACGGCAACACTCGCGTAGCTCGGTCCTCTAAGTAAGGGAAGCTAACAATACAAGAATGGGAATTTCCCCCTACTAACAATAGGGAACATGTCTTTGTTGTTTACAAGGCTTCTTGAAGAGCGAGACTATGAAAATTTATGGCCGTGCTCAGATGGATTTTAGAAATCATCTGCGTATTGACACTCGAACATGGAAATCGAGAAACACTTCTGGACGTAATAAGGATGACGAAGAATCTTACCTTATAGTTCATGAAGAGACATTAAGTGACATAGGAAACGGGCTATACACTAACAACACACTTGTCCGGAAGGACAAGTGGGAGATTGAAAGGAATGGTGTCCTTTAAACAAGTGTATTATTCCGATAGAGGGTTCAAAATTATTAGAAAGCTAATTATTCAATGAGATCAAGTGATCGGAATGCCTAGTTGGAGGCCGCTTTCGATCAGTAATATTAGTGTATAATTAATATTACAACTTAATCTTGACTGAACCCTTCGGGTCACACCCAATCGAATAACTGAACCAAAACGACGAATTAATCTGAAGGATTAGATGAGTCATTAGAGTATTACGAACATAGATGTCGGATTCCGAGCTTAGAGCGTCGGAAATCGAGCATTGTAAGTCGAGTCGAATTTAGAATTTGACAAGACGAGAAATCCAGCAAACGACAAGTTCAAGCTAAGCCGTAGCTTCGAATTGGCCAAGCCATGCGAAGGCTAGGCTAGCATAGGGCACCAACCGCGTCCCATGGCTGTGCTGCAAGCCAAACATGCATGTGCATGCTAGGCTTGCTGGCCGAGCATGCTTGCGAGGCTAGTGCGCCTAGTCACGTGCAAGCTAGCACCAACACGCTTGGCTGGGCTAGTAGGGGCGTGGTAGCAGGTGTCTTATGGGCAGCAAGGGCCTAGATAGCATGCTAGGCCATGCAAGCAGCAATGCCGCACAACACGAGGCCCAACACGCAAGCTGGCCCGTGAGTGTGCTGGCTTTGCCGCACAGCACGAGGCCCAGCACGCAAGCTGGCTTGTGCGTGTGCTGGCTGTGCCGCACAGCAAGGCTGGCAGCCAGCCAGGCCTTGCGCCAATGCCTAACCACAGCTTGGGCGTGTGGGAGCTCATGCGTGTGAAAGCATGTGTGTGTGGGTTTGCTTGGAGAACAAGGGTAGGATGGTACCCCACCTTGTGGTCCTCACCTAACCCCTTGCTTACCACTTGACACTTGACGTTTGTTGATTCATTTGCATTTCAATTTGATTTTTGAATTAAATTAAATTGAATAAAATGCATTTTACCAACTCTCCCACATTGATGGGAGATTGGAATTCATGGGCTCCCTTCCCTATAAATACCAATCATTTGGCATTGGGAAGGGACACTTGAGTTGTGAACTTTAAGGGATCTCCAAAAAGAGAGTACCTTAGTTTTAATACTCTAAGTTCTTTTGGTCTAGCCCCAACTAAACTTCGGGGTAGGGGCCGTTCGGGTTGGGTCTTTAGGGTGAGAGCCGTTGGAGGCTTGCGCATTTGCGGAGCTTTACGCTTTCAAGTACGGGCTCTTAGAAAGAGCGAAGCACGCATCAAGGGTAAGATCACCTTTTCTTCTTTTTCTCTCCTTGTTAATTAATTATGTGATTGCTAATTAACTAATATGGATGTTTGGTTACTTTAATTTGTGTGCGGATTTTGGGAGGGTTTCATTCCACGTAGTGTCGGACACTACAAAACCCAACAGTTTCTTGTTGAGAATTATGCCATGTGACATGGGTAGGAGGCCTCTCTTGGCTTCCTCCATATTAAATCGTGCTAGTACCTTTTCAATATAAGTACTTTGGCTCAACCAATCATCCTTTTAGATCTATCCAGATAGATCTTGATGCCCAATATGTACTGTGCCTCTCCTAAGTCCTTCATTGAGAAACACTTTCCAAGCCAAGTCTTTACAGACTCTAACATTGGAATGCTGTTTCCAATGAGCAATATGTCATGTACACTGTTTCTTCCAAAATCCCATTAAGGAAGGAGATTTTGACATCCATTTGCCATATTTCTTTTTTTTTTCTTTTTTTTGGTAAGTAAGTAATTTTATTACCAGAAAAGAAAAGTTACAGAATATACACGAAGTAGAACTGTAACCTCCAAACTACACAGCCCCCAAAGGGCACACCACCACCCCATCCTCTTTTCTGAAAAGCTCACCTTCTAGGAAGGGTATCTAAACAGAAAAGGGGAGAAAAAACAGTACAAAACTAACTTGAACTCAAGTGTTAAGGCACCTTCTAGGAAGGGCACTTAGTAAAAGGAATAGGACAACAAAGAAAACTCAAGACAGAACACAAAATAGCCACTAAAAAAGTTGAATCATGAAGGCATATTATCCCTTAATTTCCTCAACCATTGACAATGCTTTCTTTTCCAATTCTGGTTGATCAGTTGGTGGCAACGATCTACAACTTCTGAGCAAACCTTGTGGCATAAGATCTCAGGAATCTGAATAGCGTGATTCCAGAAAGCATTATTTCTAACAGACCAAAGCTGATACACTAAATCTGCAAGACTAGCAAAACTGATCTTTCTGAAAATTGGATCCTTGAAACATCTCTTCCAGTGCTTCCATGTTTTCTGAATATCAAAATGGATTTCTCTGACTCCAAGCCATTTCCCTATTAACAGCAAGCATCTTCTACTATACTGACAATAAAAAAACAGGTGTTTATGACTCTCCACTGCAGCATCACAGAGAAGGCATCTATCAGTGTTACTTATTCCCAGTTTCATCAAAGTATCTCTGGTTTTGAGTTTGTTAAGCATAGCTAGCCAAACTATAAAAGAAGTTTTGGGGATGTTATATCTGTTCCAGATCCAATCCGTCCAATCCACCTTTTCAGCATTGTTCTGCATCCATTTATAAACTGCAGCAATGGAATACTTGTTGTCTGTCCAGTTCTCATCTCTGAAACCCTGTGAGAGCTCCTCTTTAACGTTACAAATCTTTTTCCAAGCCCAGCCATCAGCTTTCTTTGGTTTATAATTCCACCTGTCTTGATCCTTAATATAGACATTGTGCACCCATTTAACCCAAAGAGAGTCTTTTTTCTTAGCAATCTGCCAAATGTATTTACCTAGGGCTGCCTTATTCCAGCTTTCACAGTCCCTAATTCCCAGACCACCAAATTTCTTTTCCATACAAACATTAGTCCAAGCAATAGGAGGAGCTTTAGACAAAATAGCAGACCCACACCATAAAAAAGCTCTGCAGAGCTGGTTAATTCTTTGAATAACAGTTTTTGGCAGCAAGACACACTAAGCCCAGTAAGAGTGAAGGCTGATGAGAACATAATTTATTAAAACAACCCTTGCTGAGTAAGATAAGTTCCTGCTTGACCAACATACCAATCTATGTAGCATTTTGTCAATAAGCACATCAAAATCAGCCACCTTTAAGTACTTTGAGTTTAAAGGAATCCCAAGATACTTAAAGGGGGTTGATCCTTCCACAAAACCAGTGAAATTCAGAATGCTAGCCTTTGTACTGTCATCTACATTACCAAAATGGATTGCTGTTTTTTTCTGAGTTAGCCTGTAAACCAGACACCTTATTAAACATATTTAGAGCTCTAAAAATCAAACCCACTGAATTCCTGTCCCCATAAGTGAAGAGCATCAATCATCCGCAAAAATCATGTGATTGAGCTGGATCCCTTTACACCTATAATGAAACTTAAATTGTCTCAGTTTTCCCACCTTCCTGAGTAGCCTTGTGAGATATTCCATGACTATCACAAACAAAAGAGGTGACATGGGATCCCCTTGCCTAACACCTCTCTTGCCTTGAAAGAAACCATGAAGACCACCATTCAGCATCAAAGAATAAGTAGGAGAGGACACACACACCATCACCCACTGAACAAACTGATCAGGAAAACCAAGAGCTACCAGCATGCCTTTAATAAAATCCCAATGAACTGAATCATAAGCTTTCTTCACATCCACCTTAACAGTGCATCTTGGAGATTTCCTTTTATTATTATAATCTTTCAAGACATGTTGACAGATTAAAATATTGTCCATAATTGACCTACCAGCTACAAAAGCACCTTGACACTCATCAATAATAGCAGGAAGAACTTCCTTTAGTCTAGAGCAGATCATTTTAGAGATGATTTTGTAAATCATATTACAGCAAGCAATAGGTCTAAATTGAGTAACTAAAGTTGCATTTTCAACTTTTGGAATCAAAGTGAGAGTAGTAGTGCACACCTGTTTCAGCAAATTACCATGATCAAAGAACCCCAACACAACTTTACACAGATCCTCCTTCACCACTTCCCAGGAAGTCTTGAAGAAGTTACTTGAAAAGTCATCAGGTCCAGGCGCTTTGTCTTTATCTATACTCCACAAAGCCTTTTTAACATCATCAACTCCAAATCTCCTACATAATGCCACCTGATGATCAGCATTAAGCAGAGCCCCTTCCTCAATGACCTTAGGATGAATCTTCTATTGAGGCACAGAAGAGGTACCTAACAGGCCTTTATAGTACTCAATGAATGCATTTGCAATTAGAGAGGGATCCTGAGTAGTGACTCCATCCACATTGATGTTAGTAACTCTATTATGCGCTCTTCTGCTTCTCAAACAGGCATGGAAGTAAGCAGGGTTCACATCACCCTCCTTAAGCCAATGAAGTTTTGCTTTTTGCCTCAGGAATTGGAACTTAGATTTGTGGGCAGTATCATATTTTTCTCTAGCCTCATATTCATCTTGAATGAGTTTTTCATTACCAGGATCCAAACACAGCTTTTCTTGACAACTCTGAAGATCTTTAGCAGCCAATGTATCAGCTATTTCAATGACTGAAAACTGATCAAGGTTTAGCTGTTTGAGTTTAGCTTTTACAGCCTGTAGCCTCTTTACTAAAATGAACATCTCTGTACCCCTAATCTCAGTAGTCCAGGCCTGTTTAACAATGTCATTGTATCCTAGAAAACCAGTCCACATATTAAAGAATCTAAAAGGCTTCCTGACATTCTCAGTTTCCCCAAACATGGAAATGATGCAAAGACAATGATCCATAAGGCCCTCAGGAAGGAAAACAGCAGTTGTGTTGTTGAAAGCTTCATACCACTTCTCATTCACCAACACTCTATCAATTTTAGTGCATACTCTATCACTACCCTGCTGTTTATTAGTATAAGTAAAGAAAGAGCCTCCAGTTTTAAAATCAATCAGCCCACAGTGTCTTAAACAGTCTCTAAACTTCTCCACTTCATTCAAACAACAAGGAGAACCAATTCTATCCCCCAAATTCAAGATGTTGTTAAATCACCACACACAACCCAAGGATCATCAAATATGGCACTGATTTCCTACATATGACGCCAGAGCTCCTCTCTATGAATAGCCACATTCAGACCATAAACCATGGTACACCAAAAAGACACACCAGTAGCTTTATGAGTAATATGAGTGTGAATACATTGAGATTCAATTCTCACACCCTGAACCAAGAACAAAGTAGGCTGCCAAATGATCCATATCCTGCCTTTATCAATCTTACTGTAATTAGTTATAACAGACCATTGATTCCTAAAACTCTCAAAAACCTTCCCAAACTTCTTAGCCTTCACTTTAGTTTCAACGAGGCCAAACAAACCTATATTATGATGCTTTAGGAACCAGCGCACATCACAAATTTTACTAGATTGGTTTAGACCTCTAACATCCAGAATCCCCACTTATCCATGTAATTGATAAGAGCATTCACCTCTCTCCCACATACCATTCAGAGCCCTCTTCTTCTCCACCAAATTCACCTGCACAGAACCTGTAGGCTGTTGTCCTTGTTTATCCAAGACAGTAGTTCCTTCCTGATCAATGTCCTGCAGCCCCTCAAACCTATTTTTCACATTAACAGCAATCTCAACTTTCTTTTTTACAGTATTCCCCTTCATATCTTGCATAGTCTTTTGTACAGGTTTTTGCACAGACTGTTTTCCTATTCCAGGCATAGCTTCCCCATTAGGACCATGGGTTGTCTGCATTGGCTTATGAACAGGCCTCCAGATCTTCTGCTTCTCTCTAAAACTCTGCTGTTTTGGTTTATGTCTATTAACTTTGAGAAACTGATTAGGACAGTCATTCTCAACATGCCCCATTCCTTTACATCCAAGACATTCTACTGGTTTCCATTCATACTGAACAACTTGTTTAATTCGATTGCCCTCCTCATCAAGAAATTCAATGAAATCAGGGAGTTTTCCATTAATTTCAATTTCAATCATAATACGGGCATAAGCAATTCTCTCCTTCTGAGCAATATCTTTATCAGTTTTAACTAGGTTTCCAATCAAACCAGCAATCTTCATCAGAGCCTCTCTACCCCAAAATTTCAGATCCAAATTAGGTAGACAAACCCAAATAGGAACATCTGACACTTTTTCCTCATGAATTTTCAGATCAGAACTCCATCTCTTAGTGATCACAGGTTTCCTATCGAACATAATGGGACCAGCAGCCAGAGCTTGTTCTCTAGCATCTCGAGTTCGAAATCTAACTAAGAAAACTCCATTATCACAAGAAGCCACCCTATCAATTCCAAACTTTCCCCGTATCCTTCTAAGGAAGCCATTCATCACAGAATACGGGGGATGGGTGCATAACACATAACAAACAATTGCAGAATCCCAGAAATCAATTTCATGTTGCACATCTTCTTTAGACAATTGAAGAAGATTAGACCCATTATTACCAATCTGATTATTCGTACTGCAATTAGACACTGGTTCTTTAAGATTTAAACCCTCATCAATCACATTCTTAAACAAACCACCCCAAGAATTTTCAGTATGTAAAACAGGGGTACTATGCAAAACAGGGGAAGAACAATTGGGGGAAAAAGGTTTAGGGCTAGAAATACCCTCAAAATTCAGGAATGGAGCAGAAGTAATCCCACCGTTATTGTTAACATCAACATCATGCATATCATCCACAATCATTAACAGAGGGGAAGGATTGGAAGAACTAATTCCAGAACCCAAAACAGAGTTAGGCACAGGTGAAGAATTATTCACAGGGAAAGAGACTACCTGCAACCATTGATTCAAATCAAATTTACGATGGTCTTTGATCTTTCCTGTGACTTCTTGAATCGGAAATTCTTCAATAACATCACCATCGAGCCAGCTTTTGGTCGAACCCACATCCGAAACCAATTCTTGATTAGCAACATTTTCTTTGCATGATCTTAATTTGTATCTTTGCTTTTTCTTTGCTTTAGAGGAAGACTTCGATCCTGAATTCTTCTTTACCTTCCCTCTTTTACGATTGGCCATGGCCCAAGCAAGCTTTGCAAGTAAAAAATGGCGGCAAAAAATCTTTCTCTCTCTAGCTTTCTCTTTCTAATTCAATTAGCTTTGTTGAATGCGGAAATTGCTAGGATAATCCGGACGGACTTAAGCATGTCAATTGGAGAAAAGATTTCATCATAATCAACGCTGTGAATTTGCCTGTAACCTTTTGCCACCAATCTAGCTTTGTAAACATACATTTCTATCTTTGCCGGTTTTCAACTTAAAAATCCATTTGCAACCTATAAGTGTATAACCTTCGGCAAATCAACCAAGTCCCAGACTTGATTTTCAAACATGGAGTCCATCTCGGATTTCATGGCTTCTTGCCATTTTGCAACTAGGATGTCTTGATCCTCGGTTAAGACAACACCGAGGTATCTGTCTGGTTGAGATCTTGGCCTTTGCGACCTACGCAGGGTAATAGGTTGAGCATTGTCATTTTGACTTTGCACATTGCGGTTTAACTCTGACTTTGCACATAGCCATATCTACTAAAGTCGTCCGTGAAAGTGATAAGATATCGATAACCATTTCTTGCGGTTGTGCTCATTGGTCCACATACATACGTGTGTATAAGACCCAATAAGGCACTAGCCCTTTCTCCCAACATGGAGAATGTTTTCTTTATCATTTTGCCTAATAAACATCCTTTGCAATTTTCAAACGACTCTAAGTCGAATGAATCTAGAATCCCTTCATGAAGAAGTTGCTTGATGTGTTTGATGTTAATGTGGCCAAGACGACAATGCCACAAGTAGGTTTCATTCGACTCAATGGTATTAGCTCTTTTGGTGGTATCATTAACATTTTTCTAGTCACATATAGAATGTGTGATCTCATAAAACATATAAGCAAGACATTCAAAAGTAACGATTGTTATAGGCTTGTGATCAAATAACCCGGCGTCCAACGCCATAGATCAAAATATGTTCAAAACAATGTAAAACAAGAATTAGTACTATTATAAGTCAAAGACAAATGATGTGCCTACAAGCATGACGGAAAGACCATCTTCATTGTCCGATCGTGGTTGCACATCCACTTGTGAAGCCCTCTCACTTAGTTCCTGAAAATGGGAGCATAATGTAAGTCATACATGGTATCCAATACCTATGAATAGCTTATGCACAAGTGTTAATGAAGATACCTGAGGTAGATGAAACATTCCTCTTCTCCTCATCCCTTTGGAAGATCTTGCATTCCCTCTTGTAGTGGCCTTGCCCACCACAATTGAAGCATCGCATCTTCGCCTTGTTCTTAAACTCCTTCTTCTTTGCTCTCAAGGGCATTTTGGTTGCTCCATAGGAGTTGGCCTTGCGAAGTAGCTGCACCACATCTCTCAATGAGTGTGACTCCTTTCCCGCATCTATATGCATCCTAAGTACATCATAGCCCGAGTGGAGTGAGGCAAGCAAGATATGACCCGCCATCTCATCCTCTAATGGGATTCCGAGAAGCTCCATGTTCTTGAAGAGCCTAGTCATTCTAAGCACATGAGGTTGGAGGGGCATACCGGGTCTTAATTTGGTATTGTAGACCTTTGACCAAAGCCGGTACCTCTCCTTAGCAAGGCAACCCTCTTCCGATGGATTTATCTTCATGTTTGAAAGTGACCTAGTCACGTCAAACACGAGTCCATAATAATTTCCATTGAGACTCTTGGTGACTCTCGCATTGACAATGTCCTCAAGTGCTTTGAGGAACATGTCCGGAAAATAGGAGGAGAAATTTTCCTTCCATTCTTCCGGGATGGAATTAGCCATTAGTTGTAAGACTTTTTTGCAATCAGAAGACCATGAATCATGAGTTTCATCACTCATGATTCCCTTCGAGTAGAAGCTTGGAATGGGAGTATCAAGAATGTACTCCATGGAACAATTTCGAAGAGTTTTCCGGAGTTCCTCTTCCAACCTTGAAGTTGACCAAGTTTAGGCTAAAAGCCAACTTGTCGGGGAGTTCTAGGCACATTAAATTGTTGTTGTTATTAGTTGCAGACATGATTCTACAATTGAAAGAATTTGCAATGAAAAACCATTCATAAAACCAATAAGTTTGAAATTTAAAGCACACATGCAAAATTATCAATCCTATTGAGCGTTTTATCCATACATTTAAAATTGTCCCATTTAGGCGAGAATAAAACGATTCCAAGACCTCAAAAATCAAAAGTGATTAAGCATGCTTTGGATTTTCTTAATACTTAATATTTTAAGGTAAGCAATCCAATTGCTAATAGCTCTAAGCTACTCTTGGTTCATTAAAACGTCGCATCTAATGCGTTCTTGACGTTTTATCTCCATTGCCACGACATCTAAGGACTCCTTACTGATATCGTTCAGTCTAACCAAAACTAACGTGTATGCGATGCCTTTCTTTGGCAAGCCCACCAACATACCTTACTTCCCTAGGAAAGTAGTAATGATGTACTTTGGCACAACCCATTACTGTTCTCATTAGTTTTGTAAGTGTCATTTTAGAATGGCAAATTTAACTCAATTTTGTTTGGGACTTAGGGTTTCTATGTTGGTTGATTTAAGTGAATTAAACTAACATTCAACATTCGAAATCCTAAACATGCATCTAACATCACAATTATATAAGCAAAATATATAAAGCATAATTAAAGATGCATTTGAAAACTAGTATGACCCCTTGAACTTGAGCCTTCAATTCTTTAAGGGCCTTCGATGCATCCTCTTGGCTCGTCTTCTTAGAAACGCCGTCTTCGAGACGTCACCATCAATTATGCAAATACTAATAAGACTAGGACTAATCTAAATATTAAGGTACAAAAATATGCAACGGTACGCAGACCATATTTAGATTTACCGAAATACAAAACGGAAAGCAGTCCGTATTTACTATCCTAGTCGGGCCCCACTAGTTGTCATTTTGTAAAACCTGCATTGTAATATCTTTTCCATTCATCCATTCACTAATGTGAATGGCCCACGCATTTTACAAGCAAAACAAGCAATAAAGCAAAACACGCGCAAACTAGTAACTAACTTAGGTGGTAAATACAATTAACACGCTTAATTAAAACTAGTCAAAGTTGTTAACCGATTTTGTGATTAAACGCAATAAAATTAGCTCAAATAATCAATGAAGCTCCTACTAAATTCCGCATCCAACTTAGTTAAAATAAATCCAATTGCGTGCTTGGCATTGCATAGCACTAGCATCATAGCCTCACGCACCTCGCAGCGCCAAGCAGCACAACAGCACGCACCAAGCAGCAGCATCGTAGCAATGCATGCGTGGCCTGCTTGCTGCACGCATGCGTGTGCTGGCTGGCTGGGCTGCCCAGCCTTGGTGCTAGGCGCCAGCTGGCAGCCTTGGCAGCCAAGGCAGACTGCCAGCCAGCCATGTGGCGTGGTCAACCCGGTCAAAGGAGGGGACCATTTGCTTAGTGTTTGACTTGCGGAGCTAAGGCTTTGAAGTTCGAGCTCTATAGAAGCGAAGCACTCGTCGAGGGTAAGAATGTCATTTCGCTTTCTCTTTCCTTAGTTGTTTAATTATGTGATTGCATGTTTAGCTGCTTTAATTAGTGGGCGGGTCATTGGCAAGTTTTTCTTCCGCGTAGTGTCGGACACTACGAAACCCAACACAATGATCATGTGGAGGGTCCATATACATTTACCTTAATCTCATTTCTAAACCCATTAGGATTTATTTTAAGCTTCTATAATCCTCTAGAAGGTTCTAATCTATCCTATTTTCGAAAAGATAGAGATTTAAGAATTTTACATCGGATAAAACATTTGTTTTTCAATAATGCTAATCCCGGTCAAAATAGAATACGTACGGATATTAGGTTAACCCAATCCGATTAAGAATCAAAATTCGTATGCATTCTATCTTTTTCAAAACCATCGCTGGGGGACAGCACTATCGCGCCGCGATAAAGCTGTCGCGCCGCGATGAGATCTGTTTTACTTTGATTTGAATTCTGACTCTTTTCTGATCGTTCCGACTCTCTTTTTTCCCTAAAAATAGAGGTCGTATGACCCCGTTTTCATTCACCAACGATCATCATCAATACCCTCTCAGATTTCTTTCTCTCTCTTTCTTCTTCATGTTCTTAGCCTAGCCTAAACACATCCCAAAACACATCCTTGATACTCTCCCCAATCAAAACCATAATTCCTTCACGAGATTCGAATATTCCTTGTCGTTCTCGACGTTGCCTTCGACCTCGACGTGAAAGGTTGCTAATTCTAAGGGTTTGGTCCTAAATCTTTATTTCAATTATTATTTGATTTATTTACTTTGTTGATTTAATCTTTCTTGAAGTTACTAACGTGTTTATTGTTTTGATAGCAAGAAGGGAGGAACATCAAAGTGAGTAGATCTACTATCCTTATTCCTCGATTTTGATTTCTAGTATCATGTTAGGATGTTGCTTTTGATTCTTAGTATCATGTTTAGGGTGTTAACTAATATTTCTAATATCATGTTTCTAGTATCATGTTTAGGATAATGCTTTAATTATGATTTTTAGTGACATGCTAGGATTTGTTATTAATCCGTTTAGTATCATGCCTTTGATCTTGCTACTAATCATGTTTTAATGGTATTATGATGATGATTTTTGTGTCAATTATATGTTGCTTGAATATTCATGATTGATTGTTATTGCTTGATCACACCCTTTCTTGCAAGTTTAAAGAAAATTTGTACTTGAAATCACGCCTAATAAGATAATTAATAATTTGATTTTAGGTTTAATATGATTTTATTTCAAGTGATCACCAACTATAGATTTGATTGTGCATTTAATAATTAATTTACGTAGATTAAATATGCTTAAGATTAATTTGATGAATGTATGTTGATCGGAAAGCGCACATGAATATCGTAATAATTAAGTAGAGGCCGATTTAGGGCGGGTTCAATCTCTTTTAGGTTGGATTCGTACTATCATCCCCGAATATCCAGTCATGGTTCCGGACCACTATGGAGTTAGCGATCTCCGTGAT